TTTCTAGCTGTACAGTAGCTGTCATTTTTTTTACTGCCCATTTAAAAAAAAAAAAAAAAAGGCATATGGTGGCCAGTGGGGGATGGAGTTCACTTCAGTATCCTATTGGGATAAATATTCCATGTTCCCGGCTATGTATTAACTTAAAAGTGACAAACACAAAAACCTAAACATGTCAGTTCCATAATGTAAAGGAATTCTTTAGCCATTTGAAAAACATCAGTGTTGAAATATCAAAATATCAGTGTCATAGCTTTTAAAAAAAGCTCAGTTTTTTGAATATTCCATGAAGGTTTGAGGGGCTTCTACAGTTTCTTCAAATGTCAGTTTGTCATAGTAGATACTCTTGAATTTATATAGCTTTTTTTGATTTGGAGAGAAGTGGGTGAGACTCAAGCATAGTGGTTTTAAAAACCAATTTATTCCTCTTAATGTTTTCTTAGTAACGCTACAAATATGTACCCGAAGAATATGCAATCAAGTCGAACATCAGAAACGAAGCTCGCATCTAATGCTAATCTCAGCAGCATTGTTAATGGTGTACAATTACAGATCATTCTTCAGATGAAATGTTCCAGCAGCACTTACTTGCATAGTTTGACTGTCCAGATGGAAGTTAGCTTCTAGGGCTGCCTCAGAAAAAGAGCAAAAGGCAATGTGTGAGAACTAAGTTGCAACTACCTGGGCTGCAGTTGTGTAGTGATGGGGTGTGTCTGTGTTGCTGTGTAGTTATTATGTCGCGTTAATATGAAAATTCAATATAAATATTAAAAAGCCAAAATTACAATTGTTTGAGTATCTGAACATTTTAAAATTTGTTTTTTACTGTAAACTTAACCTATAATTTTTCTCATCCTCTTTTTTCGTGTTTCTGTAATGGATCTTGCCTTAAACTACAGATCTGCACTCTCATATACCAGTGCCTTACTGATGCCTTGGTCTAGGATTATAAGAATATTGAATATTACTGCATTTCAGTTAAAGGCTGTACTTGAAATAGAATATTTTATTATGTAGGTATTTGCCAAGAGGTTTTTTGCTTCTTTTCTGAGTTTAAAAATAATACTTTTGTTGTTTTGTTTTCACAAAGTCAATCTGGTTTTTACTGATGCCTTGGTCTAGGATTATAAGAATATTGAATATTACTGCATTTCAGTTAAAGGCTGTACTTGAAATAGAATATTTTATTATGTAGGTATTTGCCAAGAGGTTTTTTGCTTCTTTTCTGAGTTTAAAAATAATACTTTTGTTGTTTTGTTTTCACAAAGTCAATCTGGTTTTGTCATTGTTAAGCTTTAGGCATGATAGGGCCAAGTACTGACTGCTTTGTTGTATTGCTGCTTTTTTACAGTTACAGAAATTAAGAGAAATAAATATTCAAAAGATTTCTTTAATATACTCAGGGTGGGTTTCACTTGCAGTAAACTCCTCAGGTTTGTTTTAGCATAAGCAGTTTAGATAAATTTCTAAGGTGAAGACCTTACACTTGTCCTTGTTGAACTTCATAAGGTTCTTGTTAACCCACTCTTCCAGCCTATCCAGGTCTTCCTGCAGGGTGGCTCTCCCTTTGAAGCATCCACTTCCCCACTCAGTTTGGTATCATCTGCAAACTTCATCAGGGTACACTTGATCCCATCATCCAGATCACTTAGGAAGATATTAAAAAGCATTGGGCCCAGTATCGATCCCTGGGGGACCCCACTTGTGATGGGTTGCTGGTTTGAAAAGGAGCTATTT